GCAGTGGCCCTGCTGGCTCAGGTGGAGAACATATGTGTATGCTTCCCCTCCGTGCCGGGCTGGCAGAGTGGTGCCCCAGAAAGTGTGGTGCCCTACGCGACTGCATACTCCGCGTATGCCTAAAGACAGCCCTGGCCGCCACTTCTATAATATGTAACGGTGATGTTGTTCAGTTTGATGCATATTCTGTAGGGGATGTTTCCTTTTCTCCTTATTTGTAGTTCTTCAATTTTTCCGATGGTGAAGTGGCTTTTTCCTATATCACTGATCACAACTTATCATCATTGCTCATTAAAAGTGCTGTCATGTGAGTGGAAATCGAGTAAATATTGCATTTTATTAATATCAGTAGAACTGACTTAAATGGGACCTGTGTGTTGTGTATCTTGTCTTAATCTTTGTATTCATGCTCGTCAGTGTGAAAGAAGCTATTTGCATATATATTTACATGTATATGCCACCACACTTAAGTTGCAGCCCTTGGCATGTGCTGTGAGTATCACTGTGGCCCCCTGGATTTACAAAATTGAGTAACCCTGCTCCTGTGCCATTGAAGGTCGCTTTATCTAAGTGAAAAGTCCTGAATAGATGTGCATTGACTTTGCTAGCTGGGTGAAAGGTTCCAGGCATGTGCATGCTAGCTGTGCCTTAGCTCAACATACACTATGAGGCCTGTAAGACCCTTGCAATACAACCAATCTGCCAATGTAAACCTACTGAAACTTATTATAATAAATAGGGATGTCATTGTGTAGATGACTACACAATTATCAGATAAGCTTAGGCTTACCGGTTAATCTTATTGACTACACACATGCCCCCTGCGCCCTTTGCTGCCCCTGATACAGAGGCAGCAAGGGGGAGGAGGCAAGCAAGCAGGTTAGTCCTATAGGCTACAAGCCCCCTTTGACAGGGTGAAATAAAAGTAATGTCTCACATTTCAAGTCACAAACCTTTTTCTAACTGTCAAGCATTAGGAAGAAGCACACACACCCTGCCCCCGACTCATCATGCTGTAATTGTCCACTCTGAGAATTTTTGCAACTTGTTTTGAGGGATCTGGAAATACTTCATGATCAGAGTCAGGTTGCTGGACTAGATGGATCACTGATTTTTATTCACTATGGCAACTCCTGTATCTCTACTGAATACAGGAAAAACTTCTTAACTTTCAGGATGGTTTAGCACTGGGATAAATTGCCTAGGGAGGTTGTGGAATCCCCATCATAAGAGATTTTTAAGAATAGGTTAGACAAACACCTGTCTAGAACAAGGGTGGACAATAATTTTTTATGGGGGAGCAATCCAAGAATTTGGTAAGTGCTCATACGCTTCCATAATATCCCTGCCTTCCATACCCCTGAATGCTGTGAGCCTGAGGGGGAGTGGTACTTTGCACACTGCCTGTCCTGCAAACAGGAAGCTTCCATTGGCTGGTTTCTGATATTATGCTCAGGGCGGGGGCAGTGTGCAAAGCCAATTTCCCCCTCTCCACCTCCCCCACAAACACACACAGGCTCGCAGCATTCAGAATGCTACTCTGAGCATGGGGCAGGCATGGGGAGGCTCCCGTGGGCTGAGTGCAGTGGCTTGGCGGGACATATGCGGCCCACGGGCCTAATGTTGCCTACCCCTTGTCTAGATGGTTCTTGGTCCTGCCATGAATCCAGGGACTGTACTTGATCACCTCTCAAGATTCCTTTCACCTCTATGATTATGCAAACCCACCTGTTTCAGTCTGCGGTTGCTGTCCAGACATCAGTTGTGGGGGATTCATGGCCCAGTGTAGTTGTCTACAGAAATCTTGGCGATCATCCACATGAATATAATCATATATATTTTGATGCATTACATCAGTCTGAAATAATTATTATAAACAATGTTTAGACAGTATATTCACAGAGGGTATGTCTACACTACAGAGTTAGTTCGAACTAACTTAGTTAGAATTAGTTAATTCGAACTAAGCTAATTCGAACTAACGCGTCAAGACCTAAAAACTAGTTCGAATTAGCGTTTTGCTAATTCGAACTAGCATGTCCACATTGAGTGGACCCTGAACAGGGCTTAAGGATGGCCGGAAGCAGTGCCGGCAGGGCATCAGAGGAGGACTTAGAGCGTGGAGATGCTGTCTCAGGCTAGCCGAGGACTGCGCTTAAAGGGACCCGACCCCCACCCCGGACAGACAGTTCTCAGGGGTGCCCCGCTTGAAAACCAGTCCTGGCTTGGAGTGCCTGGAGTGCCCACACTGGGCACATCACAGCACTCGGCCATCAGCTTCCACCCCCAGAAGCCCGCAGAGCCAGCCCAGTCCTCCCCATCGGGGGCTCGTACCCCATTCCTCCCTCACCTCCTTCCACTTACCCTTCCCTAGTCCTCCAACATTGACTCTGTCTTTATTGAACAAAACTGGGGAAGACTGGGAAAAGGAGGTGGGAGAGGGGAAGAGAAAGGCTGGGAGAGGGGAGGCAACTAACATGATCAGGGGTTGGGAACAGGTCCCAGATGAAGAGAGGCTACAGAGACTGGGACTGTTCAGCTTAGAAAAGAGGAGATGGAGCGGGGACAGGATAGAGGTCTCTAAAAGCAGGGGTTGGGTGGAGAGGGTGCATTCAGAAAAGTTCTTCATGAGTTCCCAAAAAGAAGGACTAGAGGACACCAAAGGAAAGGAATGGGTAGCAGGCTTCAAACTAGTAAGAGAAAGTTGTTCTTCACAAAGCAAA